CATGCGTCCAACTCTCGGTCCAGTGACTGCTGCCAGTGAAACCATTTGATGAATAGCATGAAAATTGATCTGTGAAGTAAAGATAAAGACCGTTAACGTTGGCCCAAAAACATTCACCTGACACTTGACACGAGCATGCATGTGCTTACCTAAACCTGCAAGAGATTAGAGTGGCACTCAAATTGCCAAAAGTATCAATGATCTAACTTTATACTCTACCCGGCACCACTCCAGGATTTTTTTTTTTCTCATCCTGGGCGAAAGGGCAGCTTGACCGATATTAAGGTGGGCTGAAAAAAATGTCGAAATATATTTTAGAATATCAAATAAAATTCTGGAAGACCTTAACTAGGGCTACACAGACATCTGGGGCATGGAGCCTCCCCTACCCCCGGTGTAGAGCCAGCCCTACACTGTACGGAAAATGGATGGATGGATGACTGGAAACTACACTGCTTCCATGCTTGTACAAAATAACACATAAAAGAGCCATGATAACGTATAGTCAACCAAAGGTGTGCCGAGCCCATGTCTTGGGATGAAAAGTGTGAAAACCATACAGTACTATTTTACAAAACAAAAATACAGAGAGCAGGAGAAGCCTTGATATACTGTATGAGTTTTTACTCTTCATTTTATTATTTGACCTTTTTTTTTTTTGTCTATCCCACATTCAAAACAACACTGACAGTTGACATATATCAGTGGACCTCATTGTAGACAGGACATCATAATTGCTATTAACGAATGACACGATTTACTCGTGACTTAAAAAACCAGAGAGAGGCTGCCTTTGTTTAAAAAAAAAATAAAAATAAAAAAAGAGGGAGGCGGGGGCGTGGGGGTATAAATATTCTACTCACTGTAGATGGCCGGTTTGACAATTAGAAATAATTGTCAATGTGTACGTGAGGAGCTGCTGCATCAAAATAAATCGTCCTCACCAGAAATTAGGGTGACCACATTTTAATATTTTACAATGGCAATCATTTTCTGATGTGCTGAAACCTTCATTAGATTTGGTTTACTTGCAGACTTCCTGCAAGCGTATATTTTTTGTTTGAGTATTTTTTGGTAGGGTGTGGTATGTGCTGTTACACTGCGCCACCCGCCGGTCGATGTACAGCTGCCAACGAACCCGTCACGCTCCCAGGACCCTAACCTCCAAATATAGAGCCCTGTCATCCTGGTCTTTGTAGCACCTACAGACCTCTCGGGAGCACCCCCAAACCTCTGTTCCTAGAATCACCCTTGTGGTCAACTTTGATATTTGAAACTACAGTCAAGCATGCTGGGAAACGATTCCTAAACACAACACAATAGTTTTTTGGGTTTTTTTTAATGAGATGTGAAGCACTAATGACAAACAAACTACAAATCCCATAATGCAATACAGGTGCCTTGGGATAATTCTGTAGCTCTGAATGCAGCTCAAAATCTGTATATCTGCATATCAGCGTGAGCAGCTGGTCTCTGTGATGAATAATGTAGCACTGTAGGGAGTTGAGGTTTGTCTTCCAAGCATAGTGAACAGTTTTTCATAATTACGTGTTTACCGTTAACATTACTTGTTGTTTCTTATTCCCCAGAAGAATGTCATTTTGTGTGTTTTACCTACCTGTTAACTGTTGCACGTTCATTCTGTTCATGCCCAGTGTGAGGCTAGTGTTCTGTTTCGTTACCACCTGTCCATGAACATTGTTCATCCAGCTTGTTCTGATTTACAGGATTTGTTGACTATGTTTGGTGCCCAGATTCAAACCTCTAACCTCCAACCTCTGAACTGGGATGTGCATGTATTCACCCCTTCATCACAATGCCAACAAAGGGAGAATATATTATGCGTAAATTTCAGTGAATGTTTTTATATCTGTATTTATCCATGTATATTTCCCAAAGGTTATTGTGTTAGCCAGTCGTAAGTCACAGCAAAAAATATTTAATGCCTCTAAGGAATAAAATGCTTTGTGTGTTTATTTGGGTGACTTCTTTGTATCTGCGTGCAAGTGCATGTGTATGTTCCAAAGGTTATGTTCTGTTATCTTGGCCTCTGCTGTAAAGTCATACATCAAATGTATACGCATACATATGGAAAACTGAGATATATTGCATGGTGTCTCTTTGATTAAAGAGCTCTGCGACAAAGCAGCCAGTACAGCACAACGACAGCCGAAGCTTTGTGTATTTACACTGCATAAAGCTCATCCTGAGGGACCGATGTCTAGTTGGAATTTCAAGCAGTACCATTGCTACTCGAGAGCTGTGAGAGGTGGGCTTTTTCAGGTCACTTACATATTCAGTGAAGGGCAGGCAGATTGGGTACTTCTTGTTTGTGGTGAATACCAAATAGCTGCCCGGAACCCATTTTCTTCAACAGATCAGCTCCGGGCAAGAAAAACATGACAGGCACATAATTACATGTGGGCAATAGCTTTTATTCATTATTTTTGCTTTGGAATAAAGTAATGACATATATAGAGACTGCTTCACCTGTATTGATTCATTTGATTTGATGGCTATGGGAATGCAGAATTTGATTTCAAAAGAAAAACTATTTTAATGAACTATCCACCCATCGATTCATTTTCTAATCCGCTTATTTTCACGAGGGTCGTGGGCGTGCTGGAGCCTATCCCAGCCGTCTTCGGCCAGCCAATCGCAGGGCACACAGAAGCGAACGACCATCTGCACTCACACTCGCACCTCGGGACAAAGAGTGTTCCATTACCTTGCCATGCATGTTTTTGGAAAGTAGGAGGAAACCGGAGTATCGGGAGAAAATCGGGGAGAACATGCAAACTCCACACAGGAAGGCTGGACCCGCAATCGAACCCTGCACCTGTGCACTGTGAGGCGGACGTGCGAACCAGTCGACCACCGTGACACCCTTTTAATGGACGACACCATCTCAATTGAATATATTAGATATGCACTCACCAGGTACTATATTTGGAACACCTGCACAATCGGATGCAATTAAATGTAGAACTTAAAACAGTCTGCCTTTTACAGATCATGATGCTTACTGAGACCGTTCAAGCACTCTAAATTTTAAAAAAAAGTGTTTATTATTGCAAGTGTAGTTTGTTTATTTTGGAACTATTGTTAAGCAAACACAAAAGCAAGCTATAGATCCAGCCATCCCGTCCTCGAAAACAAATGTTCCTCCACTATAATAGAGAGAGAAAGGCTATCATGCTGCAGCAGATGCTCGGCTTCCTTGTGCAAGCATGTCCCCTGACATGGCTCCCACAAGCTGGGTTCATTGACATCAATGCTCTGGGGACTGCTGTGGAATCAGAGCTTTAGCTGCTGCTTGTTTGGCCTCCTTCTGGCACCATTCTAAACACAGGCAGGCCTTTTTTTTTTCTACAAGACTCCCCTGGCAACGTGAGGTACTATTCAGCAAAGGTTAAATCAAATGAATGTGACTTAATGGGCCTATATTTGCATGAAAGGTTCTCTACATCAGAACAGTATGTAAGAAAAGCCTTTAGAAAATAAGCGCTGCCTCTCCACATCGGAGAAAGCTTATGGAAATGGCCTTTGATGAAATACAAGTGAGCCATTTGATGTTAATGTCCTCTAAACACACAAATCAACAAGATTTAAGTACTCTACGGTGGCACGGTGGTCGACCGGTTAGCACATCCGCCTCAAGGTGCAAAGGTTGTGGGTTCGAATCCGGTCCCGGCCTTCCTGTGTAGAGTTTGCATGTTCTCCCCGTGCCTGTGTGGATTTTCTCTGGGTATTCCCGTGTCCTCCCGCATTTCAAAAACACACAAGGCAGGTGAATGGAACACTCGAAATTGTACCTCAGTGTTATTGTGAGCGTGAATTGTTGTGTAGCCTGCAATTGGCTCGAAGACAACTGGGTTAAGCTCCAGCACGCCCACGACCTTCGTGAGGATAAAGCGGTTTGGATAATGGATGGCTGGATTGATGGATGGATAGCTACACTAAAGTGTATAATAGTTGGTTCCTAATTATAAGGTTCATGAAGTAAACATGAGTTACTAGTAACAAGTCAAAGCACACCAAGTGGAAATTTTATCACTGGGTGTACTGCTTTCACTTTCCTTTATTTAAAATGTGCTTTGTTTTATTACCATAATAAACACTGATAGGACTTATTAATATTTCAGGCAGCTATGTGGACATCAAGAGGTTTTGGGAAGTCAACTGACTGGGCAACTAAATTGTTTGAAATGTACCTACACAATAAATAAAAAAAAATTAATAGAAACAAAAATTGAATAAAAATATGCTTAAACACAATTCAAGACTTGCTACTTCCACAGTTTTCTTCTGTCATTATCACGACTTATGCTCTCACGTTTGTACCTTAATTATTTGATACATTTTAGACAACACAAAAATCTGCAATATGCTATTGTAAATAAAACACACTATCATTTATCCGTTTTCTATATGGCTTATCCTGTTCAGCCCATCCCAGCTGACTTTGGGCAAAAGGCAGGCCATACATTCCCTGGAATTGTCAGTACTACACACAAATACTAGTTCATATTAAAAGAAAAATATATGTATTTAGAATAAGGTCACTGATTACATAATTGTCCAGTCATGCCTGACTTTTGTCTGTCTTTTATAGTTTACATTCACCGATGGTGTGCATTGCTTGTCTGGGTCTATACAGTAGCTTTGTACATTTTCTGCCTTTCATCAACTGGGATAGTCTACCGCTCCCTGGTAGTCAGAGAAAATGGATGGATGGATGTTTACAATAACAATGAAATGTTTGCAGCTACATTTCAAAAGGCAGATGAGATGACGTGACTAAATGTCATTGGGTGGATGGATGGAAGGAGGGGAGGGAGGGAGTTACTGTGATATGGCAGGAGAGGACAGAGCATGAAGATGATGATGATGCCGTGGTGAGCGTGTGTGTATGCACGAATGTGTGTGTGCGCGTGGGGGGAGGGATGGGGCGAGCGAGCGAGAGGGGGATGAGAGAGAGAGAGAGAGAGAGAGAGAGAGAGAGAGAGAGAGAGAGAGAGAGAGAGGCAGGTGGAAAGAGGAGGGGTCTGGGTGGTCCAGACAATCAGTCCTTGTGTACCTCACACACACGCATTATTAAAAAGAAGACTATACGCCACTCCGCTCTGCCCTCCACTCGAGAAGCGAGCGCGCGTATGGAAACATTTATGAGCACCAAAGGGAATTAGTGAGCCCGGAGCATCACGAGAACACTCCTGCTACCAAAAAGGTGAGACAAATGGATAAATACAGTCATTGCTCGCATGTTATGTCAGGGTTTTGACTTCATACCCGCACATTTCAACGCAATGTTTTTGAACACTCGCTGATTAGGTGGGATACATTCGTTCGTGCCGTGCTGCCTTATCGCAGCATTACTGAGCATGACTCCATCTCACATCAGCGCATCAGCAAGCTCAACCTGTTCACGGCGATCTACATGGGCTACAGTAGGCTCTATGAGAGCTTTATGTGGTGGAAATCTCACCCTGGGTTTTAAATCAGCTCCCGTGTAGATTCCCCTCAGTGCAAGGTATCATCAGTGTAAGCTCACAGACTCTCCATTATCTCAATTTATCCATGGAAAAGGCAAGCTCATTTCATTATTTCAAGGCAGTGTATATTTAACTTGCGTTGAAAGAATTTGAAGTGATACAAAATGTAGTCTCTGTTGGACCTGACAAAGGTAATGCTGTCTGTCAGATGTGGGGATGATGAGAGGCTTTATTTATTGGACATCATCAAAGCTTCCTGCACGAAGGCACACGCCTGCGATTCACTGTTTTGGAAATGATTTTTTTTTCACTTGCAGCAACCTCTCCCCTTGACGTGACATTGTTTGTGCAGCTTTACTCTCATTGAGGATTGTTTTTGTGCGTGTGTGTGTGTGTGTGTGTGTGTGTGTGTGTGTGTGTGTGTGTGTGTGTGTGTGTGTGTATATTTGTATCTTCAATCAGGCCCCCATGATGCTTGATGCATGGATGATAGAGTTGACAGAAAGTGAGGCTACTAATACTGTTAGCTTATAGTTCTTTTTATATTACAAAATGTAAAAAAAAAAAAAAAAAAGCCTTTTTCCATGGGCTGTCATCAAAATATTTTATCAAATAGAAGCAGTCAGAAGTACTCTCCATTTTTAGTGTACCATTCCTATTTCAATGGGATTCTTGTCCTCACTTGAAGGATATGATTCTTTTTCAAAGACTTCTTAGTTGTCCTCCACTTCCACTTGATCTGCGGGTGTAATATAAAGTCTGTAATGTGAGGATTGTCAGTCACCTTAAAACCTAAGAGTGTTGCAACTGCTTCTTTAGTCCACTTTTTGATTCAATATGAAGAAAAATAAAGAATAAATTCATTTCAAAACTACTAAAGTGCATACACTGAAAAATACTATTTACCAGAAAAAAATGTAATTTCTCACTCCCCTGCAAATTGTTTGTCTGCAGGGAGAATCTGTCGTCGATGCCTGAGTCTAAATGAAGTGGTTCCGCCATGCAATGTTCCTGGAAGGCAGTGGTCCTGCTGGCCTTGGCCTCCATCGCCATCCAGTACACGGCCATCCGTACACTCACCTCCAAGCCTTTCCAGTTGTGCACATTGCCCAGCCCACAGAACTGCGGTCTGGGGGATCAGGAGACCGAACCTCCCTTTGAACGGGGGGCAGTTGGCTGTGAAGATTACCCAACCATTTACATGAATGCATCCCGCAAGACACACATCCTGGTCTTGGCCACCACTCGTAGCGGCTCCTCCTTTGTCGGCCAACTTCTCAACCAGCACCAAGAGTTTTTTTACCTGTTTGAACCTCTTTATCATGTCCAGACCACACTGATCCCCCGTCTGTCCCACAGCCACAACACAGCAGACCGTCGTGTGATGCTGGGGGCTAGCCGAGACCTCTTGAGAAGCCTGTATGGTTGCGACCTCTATTTCCTTGAGAGCTACATCAAACCAACTCCCACAAACCACACCACAGACAAACTTTTCCGACGTGGTGCAAGCAGAGCGTTGTGCCAACAACCGGTATGTGATGCCTTTGGCCCATCGGATGTTAATGTGGAAGAGGGGGACTGCGTTAAGAAATGTGCACTTCTTAACATGACCTTGGCAACTGAAGCCTGTCGGGAGAAACGACATGTGGCCATCAAGATTGTCCGTGTGCCAGAGATTGGGGATTTGCGCGCCTTGTTGGAGGACCCCAGACTGAATATCAAAGTGATCCAACTGGTCAGAGACCCCCGCGGTATCCTATCTTCCCGGATTGAGACCTTCAGGGATACATACCGGCTGTGGCGTATATGGAGGGCCACGGGGAGAAAGCCCTACAATCTTGACTTGAGTCAGCTCACTGTTGTCTGTGAAGACTACGGAAACTCTGTTTCAACTGGTCTCAGCCATCCGTATTGGTTGAAAGGGAAATATATGTTGGTCCGCTATGAAGATTTGGCGAAAAATCCACTCCAGAAGACAAAGGAGATCTATGACTATCTGGGGCTGCCCATGGATAAAAATGTGGAAGACTGGATACATGCAAACACTCGCGGCAGCAATGAACCATCAGCGAAACACAAATTTGGTACAATACGAGACTCAGCAGCTAATGCCGAGAGTTGGCGCTTGAAACTCTCTTATGACATGGTAGAATACACTCAGACTGTGTGTCAAAAGGTTCTCCATCAACTCGGTTACAAGACTGTGAGGTCAGTCGAAGAATTGAAAAACATGTCTATCTCACTGGTGCAGGACAAAACCTTTGCACCCTTTTTGTAACAAAAGATAGTTCCCTGGTGACTATTTTTATATATTGATAATTGTTGCCTTATCATGTCATTGGTTGGTTGTTGCTTTTTGTCGATTCAAATTTGCACTAAATGAGAATTTGAATGCACGAAGGGACGATGGATGATCCCCAAATGTAATTAACAGCACACTTAAAACACTAAATAAGCAAACAAGCTAGTTTACAAATGTGTCATTTATATTTTCCCCATTAACAGGACATCGTTTTCATTCACTCTGTGTATGCAAGTAAAAATGTTGCCCTTCAAAAAATGTGTCGGTAAATGGAATGGGTCATTGTTTCTTTTACAAGGAATGACAAAACTGTGCAATAAATAGTGAATGTTGCAGTCAACTTTTCAGTGTTTCTCTGCGCGTAATAAGAAAATAGAGAGTGAAATGTTTTGCTGGGAAAGAAGAAGTGAAAACTTACAGTTTCTGGATTGACAGACGTGGAGGTTATAAGTGGTTCCTGCGACGATGAGAGGATTTACATCCGTTTGTGACAAACAAACATACTAATGAGAGCTAATTCTGAAATCTCTACTCAATGAGTATTTATAGATTAAGTCACATTTTTCCAACATGGTCGCCTGGGTGTTGGTTGACACTTATAAAGGATTTAAAAGGAGGCAGAATCTGATTAGATAGAAGAATGGTTCATTCCCGTTTTTGATTTTGCATTTGGAGTGACATGATGACATTTTTCATACATTCAGTCCCTTTTGTCTTAGCAAAAACTGAAATGTGAAATTATCAGCTCAATAGCCAACGAATTCCTTGTTTCTGTTTCTTAAATAATCAATACTTTTTAGAGACAGTGTCTTCTCATCTACTTCTACGAATCCAACTGATGTGTGGTCAGTTGAAAAACATTTTTTTTCCCACCCAAAGACAATCGGAGGCCTTTTTCAAGACAGCATTGCCGCAGGTGCAAAATGTATTACAGACCAATGAGCTGTCATCACTTGAGATAAACCCTTTATCATTTTAGTGGCAATAGGAAAGCTGTTGAACTATGCAACGATACAGCGGAAAAGGTCAAGGACTGAATACAGTGCGTATAATCATGTTAAATCTGTCGACTTTTGTAAAACAATCCAGAATTCCAGACCTATCGAGAAATAATCCGGTGTGTGTGCTCTTATTTTTACATGCGATTAGCTCTAGCTTGTACATATTTCATTGGAGACACATTTTAAAGAGCTCAAAACCCCTTTTGCAGCTGTGCAGGTTTCCAAAATCATGATGGGGCATTTGGAACATAATTTTTTTTTTTTATGTATTCAAATCCGCCCCACCAAAAATTGTGCATGTTTTAAACACAATAATCATACACCATACAATCAAATCCAAAACCATTCATATGATCTTGAGACCAAATTAAAATCGCCCAAGAACACTGATAATTAAACAAATGTTTGACTTTTATGAACAGCTGAAGTTAAAGTTTCGTTCACATGATGGTGTCATTAGGTTGGGTGACACCCATTAATTTAGGTACAATGATTGATAGTTTACCCACAAAATAACCCATGTGAATGAATGCTCATCTGTATTGGTGGCCCAATGTCCATTGAGATGCAGAGCACAAACCTTTTGATCCTCCTCAGCGTCAAGGCTGGAGACAAGTGCTCTCTTCCTTCTGTTTTTCAATCGTCCACAGATTTCTTGCTACGGGCCTCTCATGGGAATAATCCTTTCCTTCAGCGCTCACTTTTGGTTTTTCACTTGACTTTACCTTTGAAATGACTGACTGTTGGTGTAGAACGTTCCATTTCTAAACTAGTTTGTATTGCTCGGATTAAGTGATTATTGCTTGAGCTACTTTGACCAAATGTAGTCAGTGTAATTTGTGATTGAGGTGGCATCTATTTTTTTTAAATATCATTTTTTAAATACTTTTATATGAACTTCTTTTTCATCCAATCACCATCTTCCAATGGGCTGTTGCTTCTTTTGTTGTTGTTCAAAGATATATTTGTGTGTGTGTGTGTGTGTGTGTGTGTGTGTGTGTGTGTGTGTGTGTGTGTGTGTGTGTGTGTGTGCGTGTGTGTGTCATCAGCGGTGATCCAGCCGGTTTTACATGTTTTCTTTTTCCGACGCACCTGGTTCACGTGATCAGCCTGATAACAATCCTGATCATTTGAATCAGGTATGTTGGAGGAGGGGAAAAACAGACTGGATAGGCTTTCTGAAGGACTGGACTTGAGCAACCCTGTGATCAATGAAATAAAATGGAATGGATCATTTTGATCTGCATTTGCTTGAAATACATTACACACAGTATGGCAAATACTGAAAAAATACAGCACAAAATATGCACATGCCTTTGAAACATCAGCAAAGAAATATCAAAGCGTTTGGATGTACATGCTGTAACCACCACATACACAACACACACACTGGTTCACACCAGCATCTCTTTTCTTGCTGTAGTGTTCGACTTCTCTTTTTCATCCCTGTTGTCAGGGTTAAATAATTCACTAGTCCCGCTTAGAAAGTCATATATAACCTCCCCCTTGCCCCTCATAATATGACCTTAATAATTTGACCTTGTGTATGACTGGAAAAAAATTGAAAAATGCCTCTTTGTATCGACTGACCTGAGCTGACAGTGCTCGGAGCATAAAACCAGTTGACATTGAGCAAATGCTGCAGCAACACAATTAGATTGAAATAAATGTATTCTTGCACTTGTTATAAATTTTTTTGATTATGTTCACTATAATGGATTTAAAAAGGGCACGTTGTTTGTGTGTGTGTGTGTGTGTGTGTGTGTGTGTGTTTGCATATCTATCTATCTATCTATCTATCTATCTATCTATTCTATCTATATATATATATATATACACCGACGCTCACACTCACACCTAGGGACAATTTAGAGCAGTGGTTCTTAACCTTCTTCGAGGGACCAAACCCAACCAGTTAATATGCACATTCACCGAAAACTTCATTTATATATATTTTTTTTAATAAATTCAAGATATGAAAAAAAGGCATTTATTAAAAACAGAAAAAAGTAAACAAAATTTCAACGGATAAGTATACTTTTTTTCAAAAATTGAACTACGTACTATCACGACAGTCACACGTTGACTACGAAAGCGAATTAAATTTCCCACAGCACTGATTGGACAAGCAATGTCATGTGATCATCTGCATCCAGTGATGGCCAAGCGGGCATGTCAAAACTAATTGACATGTTGAGTTGGGTGTGTCTTACACTCCATGGCAGTGGCTCCGTCGAACCCCTGAGACCCATTCACCGAACCCCTGGGTTCGATCAAACCCAGGTTAAGAACCACTGATTTTGAGTGTTCAATGAGCCTGCCATGCATGTTTTTGGAATGTAGGAGGAAACCGGAGTACCCGGAGAAAACTCACGCAGGCACAGGGAGAATATATATATATATATATGACCTAAGACACACACCCAAAATCTGCATTCATGTTCACATTGACACGCGAGTACCGAGTGAAGCCAAATCGTTTACTTCTACTTTTCCCGAAAAACACTTCATTATCCAACTAATGAAATATGATAAAAATGGTAAACGGGTGCACTTATGTAGTGCTTATTTACACCATACAATGTCCAAAGCCTCAGTCGCTTATTTGATGATATTTTTGAAAAAGAATACGCAAGCCGTTGGCAAAATTGTTTACTGTTGCATACATTTGTTCTTTAAACAGAACAATCACAGCAGCAGGTTAATGTAATGTGAAAATATACAAGTTTAATACTCGTCCATATTTTTCCCCCCAAAAAGAATATTGGATATTGCTCAGATATACTGTATGAAGCACTTTATACAAAAGGGCTTGTTTCCATTGATGATTTAATGCATACAAAGAACCAGCTATATTATGATAAGGTAAGTTAGTGAAAAAAAGAGAACTAGCTTTTTCTCTTTCCATCCGATAGTACACTGTACTTATTTGGAGTTATCTTGAATTAGTAAAATTTGTACTTTCTGAAAAGCCATTGTTACATATTGAAATATCGTTGTGTAATCGCCTTTACCGTATCGAATTGTATCACTCCAAAAAAGCAATACATTGCTTTGTGTCAAATCGTTTGCCCTTCATTGGAGTGATTATGAATACAACCACGCATTCAACTCTCATATGTAAATTACAATGTCATTTCGTTCCACACAGGTTGACCAAGTTGCTAGGAAAATTGCAGTAGTGGGATGGATGAGCTGAGATTTACCCAATGGTATGAGCAGCTCATTTGAAGCTGTGAGAGAGGCATAACAATCAGGTCATTTGTAATAGATCCACGAAATCAGAGTTGCTTTAATGGCCAAAGCTGCTGAAAGATCACCATTTTGAAATTAAAATATTCTCTCTAATAGGCATAATAATTATAACTATTATCCCTCTAGGGATGAACAAATCAGATATTACATTGTAACTTGAATTTATACCACTCTGTGGTACCACGTTCCAACCTAATCTGTTTAAAAATGTCTTGGCACTCTCACCAGATATTATAAATATGAAATGCTTACTTGTTAAGTTTGAAGGCTGGCATGGATCATGTAATTTCCGTAGGTGGGCATTTTGCCAGTACAGTACTAATGGAAGGTCCCTCAATTCGTCACTAACGGGCGCCCGTTTTGCGGACAAACGATGGGAAACTTAAAAAAAATAATAAATTGACGGACTGTGCACCGATGGAAGTGGGTTTTCATCCGTCACTGGAATCATCACTCATCGGATCAGTGCCGACGGGCCATCTATCACTAGCACGTTTCGCTGACGACTGACGGAAACATGCCCCACGTGTCTCGTGTTTGTTTGCGGGGGTGAATATACACCGTGGTTGCTTCACGCGGACTGCATTGACTATATGGGCTCATCTCAATCCTTTATTTAGCTAACTGACATCTTAAGATGTATTAACAACAGCAATAAGTCAAGATGGCGCCCGAGTAGGCAGCCGTCAGCAAGTGCTCTCATGAGGCTTGCTTTTTTTTTGTTGTTTTTGTGTTTGTCACTTTGTGTTTGTTGTTACGTCGTGTGGACCTGATGTGGACTTTTTTCAGCATTTTTTGGCCACGATATTCATCAACTTTGTGCTTGGTGATTGCGCCTTCTCGGCAGCATGGGTATACCAGCACTGTTTTTGACTGGGAGGAATGTCGGCGCCAGTTGCTGGACAGTCCCGGGGCGCTTGTGTCTTGTGCCTGTAATGGGCAGCATTTTTCACAGACCCGCTTTGTTCAGCGGAGAGATCGGTGCTGTTGAACGGTCTGCGGCTGGATGGATGCATGGCTTGAGGAGCCGACGATGAGAAGAAAGGAGCGTTAGCGC